AGAATTTCTCTATTAGTAAGATAAGAATATTTGAAAAAATCTTAAAATTAAAATTTTAAAATATATTTATTTGGCTCTGATACCATATTAATTTTAGGAGAATATGGGTTCATAGCTAAATAAATATATTTTAATTAGGATTTTTTTCAAACCCTAAAATACCAAAAATAGGCTGAGAGGAAGAGAGCCAGATCCGAAGAAGAGATGTTAGATCAAAGGAAGAGAGGAAGCGACCAATCTGTACACAACCAGGTCAAAGTCAACAGAAAGACAGACCCATCTGCTTCGTGCGGAAGAAGGCACAGAATCGTGCGAGCTTGGTGTGCAGCATGCGGCGGAAGAAACCATATCTGACCTGTTTCGGCTTCGTGTGGTGCAACCAGATCTGTGCAGAGAGTAAGAAACCATATATGACCAGTTTCGGCTTTATGCGGCGCAACCAGATCTGTGCACAGAGGAAGAAAACAGATCTGACCGGTTTCAACGTCGTGCGCAATGTACGGGGTGTAGAAGAGCTCTGCGCGCAATGGAGGCAGCCAGATCTGTCCGGAGAAGTAGTTGTCCAAGCCGACTTGAGTTGCTGTCCGAGCCGAGCTGCTTCCAAACCAAACCGACTTCGAGCTATTTTAGAGTTGAGACCGAGCCGTTTTAGAGCCAAACCCAATCCGTTTTGAGCCGGGCTGAGCCGTTTTGAGTCAGGTCAAGCTGTGTTGAGCTGGGCCGAGCTGTTTTGAGCTGAATTGAACCGTTTTAAACCAGGCCGAGCAGTTTGAGTCGAGTTGAGCCCGCGTATGTCTCTGATAGATTGTATGATGACTCTTCATAATTTATTCTACAAGTTAGGTATCTGCGATATCATTGCACCAACTTGAGGGGGAGTGTTGAATACCATATTTTATTATTTAATTAGTTGGTATTATGTAATTAGAATTATATTAAAATAGCAATATTATATAATTAGAATTCTAATATAATAGTTATTTCCTAATTAGTAATTTAAAAAATTGCATAAATATCCAGGTATAACAACTTAAAGAATGAGAATAAATTTATATTTTTTCTCCAAATTCTACAAAGGATATTAGCGATGGAAAAAAAATGTTTGGGGTTTTCACTTGCAATCTTTTGGGTGATATGGAAAGAAAAAATAGGAGAGCATTTGATGGAGTGGAAGAAGATCTCGATAAGGTTAGAGTGAAATGGTTTCATACCCTGATTTTTTTATTATGAGTCAACTTTTGTACTCCATGGAGGATTTAGGAGATCCTATTGATATCTTGGTTGATATGTAAATAATCTTATACATGGGTTGGCACCCATTTATTGCTTTTAATTAATGATATACTTTATACTTTTTATTTAGAAAAAAAATGCATCTCCTTTTTAGAGCTACGTATGTGGGATGAATATACTCAAACATCTCATTCATCCCTTCCACTTCTACAAATGCTGTTTATGACCATGTGCCATGAAATATGTGGATCCATGAAAAGCACCAAAACCATTTAGTCATAATGTAAAATTTTTTAGATCTAAGATTCTCGATTTCAAATCTCCAATCCCCTTGAACACTTGGATTGTAGACACCTTTCCCAGCTACTAGATAATCCAGATTCTCTTTCCCAACTGCGGACCATATGAACCTTCTCATGCACCCCTCCAATCTCTCAGCTGCCTCCCAGTAAGCTTAAAAAAGATAGGAAGTAGAGTGGTTTGCTGAAAAGACATGCCTGAATTAGAATTACCCTACCACCTAAGGTGAATAAGCCTTCTTTCTAGTTTTCCAGATGTTAGCTACTTTTTTCTGTACCCCTACCCAAAAGGACCTTCTTCTTGGGTTATCCCTTGAATGGCACTCCTAAGTATGTAATGACCATTACTATCAAGAGAATGCATTCAGTGGAAACTTGGAAAATGTAATAGAATCAAATTCTGGTTGGATGAGTGCCTGAAAGGAGGATGTCTCATGAGGTGATTTTCAAGAATTTTTGCTATTGCACAATCTAGAAAAAGGGTGATAGAAGAGCCGTATAGAGATATCAATGGCAGCACTGAATGGACGGTGAATGTCATTAGAAACCTGAATGATTGGGAAGTCAGTGAATATGAATCATTATTGCAATTACTTGCCACATAATAGGTCAATTCCAACACTGACCAGATTTAATGGAAGCTGAAACAGAACAAAGATTTCTCTGTCAAATCGTACTATAATCATATTGTGCAAACAGGACATGGCAGGAGATATGACCCTAGAATTGTCTTTTTCGCTTGGGAGGCTAGTCAGGAATGCATCTTGGCCAATGATAAGTTGATGTTAAGAGGCCAGATTATGGTCAACTGGTGTTACTTATGTATAAATGCAGCAGAATCTTGCAACCATATTCTTCTATGATTTCTTACAACATATAATCTATGGTGTATGATTTATGGTCTTTTGGGGATTAATTGGGTTATGGCAGATTCAGTCAAAGACGAAATTTGGGCTTGGGAAGGGGTTATGTAAAAAGAGAGAGTTTATAAAGATGATTCCATTGATGATTTTTTGGGTTCTATGAAAAAAAGAGAAATAGTAGAGTTTTTTTAGAGTAAAGAAGTAGAGAATAGTAGGTTGAAAGATAGATTGTTTCATTATTATGGATCTATCTTATTAAAGTATGACATTGTTAGGGATGAGAATTTTGGAAATATTATTGACACTCTAACACAACTGTAAATTTTTTGTACATGGGTGGTACTCTCTTCATATCTTGTTAATACATACTTCACACTTTTTATCTAAAAAAAAAATTATTATCAAGAGAATGAAAAGTTTATTGTGTTAGGATTTTATTCTCAACTATCTCTCTTGATGTTCTTTTTTTTAGTTATTTTTCTGTCTAACCTAGCATATTCTTTCTAATTTTCTCTATATCTCTTAACCTTCATCTCCAACTTCCTCTGGTCTTACTCGATTCTTTTCTTTTTTTGCTTTTGTTCCTCTAATTTCATAACATTCCATGTCAAGTTAGTTGGAAGACTACTTGTCCTAGATAGTTGGCATCAAAGCCAAGTTCTATTTCCACCTTTCTTACTAAATGGGTTACCATGTTTTCCTACCTAGTTGGCTTCAAGTTTCTAAATATGTTACTTTCAAATTAAAATTCTAAGAAAAGTTTCTAAATTGAACCTTGTTTGACCTAATTAGAATTCTAGGGAAACTTTCCTTGTTCAAGTAATGGAAAGATTTAAACCTGTAAGGATGGGAATCTTATTAGCTGTTAACTTTAGTTGAGAATTGTAGCAGTTTGATGTTAGAAAGTCTTTCTGCATGAAGATCTAGAGAACAGATATATATGGATATTCTATCGAGTTATGAAAAGAACTTGGCTAGTCATACTGTGTGTAAATTTAAGGTGGTCTTTTATGGATTCAAGTGATCACCACGAGTATGGCTTGACAGACTTGTAAGAGTTATGATAGCTATGGGATACAAGTAGAGTATGGAAATCACATATTGCTCATCAAGCACTCATCTTCAGGAAAAATCAGTCCTTTTGATCTATGTAGAGGACATAACAGTGATATAAGATGATGATGTAGAGAGACAACAAGTTAATGCCTTGCCAAAGAATTCGAGACAAAAACACTGTGAAGGTTGAAATACTTTCTTGGCACTAAGGTAGCTCACTTTAAACAAGGCATTGTCGTCTCTTAGCAGAAGTATGTTACTGATCTGCCAAAGGAAACATGCAAGACAGCATGCAGATCAACAAGTACCCCAATGAACCCAAATCTCAAGTTCGGAAGAGCAGAAGAAGATATGGAGGTAAACAAAGAAACATATTCTATGGGAAGACTTAGATATTTGTCTCACATATGACCAGATATACCCCATGGAGTAAGTGTGATCAGTTAGTTTATTATGGTTCAAGAGAAGTCCACTTACATGCAGCTCATTGAGTATTGCGATACCTTAAGGGCACACTAGGTAAATGTATCTCATCAAGAGAAATGAACATCTAATTATTAAAAGCATACACAGATGCCACTTATGCTGGATCAATCATTGACAGGACCTTTGGGTATTATACATTTCTTAGTGGTAATTTACTAACTTGGAGAAGTAAAAACCTCAATGTGGTAGCACAGTCAAGTGCAGAAGCAGAAGTCAGGGCAATGGGCCAAGATGTGCGTGACCTACTATATATAAAGATCATCCTAGAGGATCTTAAGATTAAATAGGATGGACCAATGAGATTCTATTGTGACAATAAGTCTGGCATCAGCGTAGCCCACAATCCTATACAGCATAATCATACGAAGCACATTGAAGTCAACAAATACTTCATCAAAGGAAAACAGGAGAATTGACTGATTTGGACACCGTTTGTGCCTTCACATCGTCAGCTGGCTGGTGTGCTTACTGAAGGATTTAGTAGCCAAATATTTCAGAATATTATTACCCAGCTGGGAATGGAGACTACAATTCACCAGCTTGAGAGAGAGTGCTTATATATTTTTTTTCATTTTTGTCATATATAAAACTGGGCCTACTAAGTAGGACCTCATTATGGCGAAATATCCCATAATTTATGGGAGTACAAAATAATTAGATTTCCTTTTATGTCGCAATGACAACACAATTTTCTCCAGACCAGCCATTTTCATGAAAATGTACTCAACATATTCAGATTATTGCAGTTTCGAAGAGCGTCTTGCTGCCCAAAGAAAGGAGAGAGAAATGGCAACAACAGAACTTGGGTTCAAAAAGCCATTGAGTAAGGAAGAAAAGCTGGAGAAAAAGAAGCAACGCCTGGCTGCAATTGGTAACTTTTGTATTTGTTGTACATTTTCATTACTAGTTCATTGGCCATAGCAGTAATTTCATGTCGCTTTAG